TGTGTGTGTGTGTGTGTCTTACACTTGTCTAAGGCTTTGTCATTGTTTTCTTCCAACACTTTTCTGAAGACAAAGCTTGTACCGGCGTTTTGGTTGTCTGGATTAGTGAAGACTTCCTCCAACAACTCCACTGCTGACTCCACATTGCCACTGAAAAGGGTGAGAATTGATGAGTGAGAGGGAAAGAAAGGGTTAGTGCAGTTCGGACAGATACAAACTAAACCTGTGCATGATTAATCTTCAAACAGATAAACAGGGAACAGGAGAAACAAACCATGACTCATGATTTAATCTTTAAAGGTGTGATTGAACGCCTCAGGGGAAGAACATATGCAAAAGATATATTCTAAGAAACTGGCCAGATTAAAAGAATATGAACTGCTCCCATATGCTGTTTTTCAGCATGTTTTGTAATTTAATATTAAAATGATATTGATTTTATTTTTTGTCCTTTACAACGTCCCACAGAGTGCAGAACAACTCATACATACTCATACTGGGAAACGCTTTTCTGCTGAGGTCGCCACAACCGAACAAAGCCTGCACACCAAAGCACTACAAATCTAAAACAACTCAATCTGGCAACCCGAGCTCGCTACTAACACTTTACGCTCCCTGCTCCCTCCCCACCGTCACCAGTCGTAATGAATATTTAACATACAGGGTGCGTGTGCGTCTCTGTGTATGTATATGTGAGAGTGTCCAGAGGTGGGGGGGAACATATCTACGCTGATTGTTACGACTGGGACCGTCTGAATAATTCAGCGGGGGGCCCCTCTAAATGTGGCGCTCTGCTTTCCGGGCCTGCTTGCTTTTTCCGCCCTGGCTCTTAACCAGTCAGCTTGACTCAGATAGAGCGGGGACGCACGTGTCAGAGCCGCTCAGGGTGCAGCTCCAAGAGGTCAGGGTTCAAGCTGACAGGCCCGCGCCACGGTGGCCAATCGGGCGTGAGACTGTCTTGCTATTCTTCACTTCCTGCTGTCCCTCCGAGTTGGCATGGGGACGCTGCCGCTCGAGCTGGAGGACAGCGCTAATGCGGCAAGTGGTGCAATAAAAGTTTGATGCACAATGTGCTTCATATTTTGTTCTCTGTTGTTTGAGGAGCGACAAAGCAGCATTTGAGGATGGGTGTTTTCATGACATTAAAAGGAATCCATGAATAATCCTATTACGCCTGTGTTCCCTATTTGTATTTGACGCCCCAATCGCCCTGTAGGTTTTTACTTTAATGTGTCAACCTGGGTCTTGTCACACTCTGCTGCTGGTATTGCATCAAACTGTTTATTGTAAGTTTACAAAATAGTGTAAAAGATTTCACCCTGTACTGTAAATTGCCTCATAAATTGAAACTATAATGTTTTGTAACATGCCGCCCTACAGTGCTTTGTGCCTCCATTTGACTATACATGGTTGGTGGTCAACTGCAAGAACTGGTGGTGATATGACTTTTTTGAAATGTCAAATTTAGGGAAATACCTGAAAGGCAGCATATGCCTTAATGTGACTCATACATGACCCTTACCGCATTAGTTAAAGCCCTTTTGTGTAGACTTTTATGTGATTATGGGATATTTCAAATTACTCTGAGGGCTAAATTTTTGTTGGCAGAAAACAAAAAACCAAAAAAGTCAATTCAAAAATAGTCTTCACATGCCTATTAATAAACTGCCATAAACACACTTAGCAGTCTTACTTCCTGATGTGTGCCAGGGCTGTGTTGTTGACAAACAACATCTTAGCTAGACTGCTGTCATTTAACAATGACTGCAATTCCTGGACACCCGCCACATCGCCCTGGTTTCCATAGGCCTGAAGCAGTCTGGTGATGGCAAGCTGCGAGGGCGACTGTTTCATCTCCAGCATAGACTTCAGTTTCTCAAAGGCCTCTGTAAAGGAGTGCAAGAAGTGAGCGTGTGTGTATTAAATGAGTATACATGAATGTTTACCCACACATATCTGTTTCTTACCTTTAGCCCTGCCTTGCTTGCTGTATGTGACGATGAGCAAATTGTTGGCCATTTCTTTCACGATGAAGCCTGGCACATTAGACATAGCACTGAAAGAGACAGAATTTTCTTGGTTTGGTATCAACAGTACACTTCTTTAATTGGTCAAATGACGACATTTTCTTTATAAGTTATAAGCCACACCAGCAGCATGGCTCTGAGCCGCCATTTTACTCCAGATTGTAATATCGCAATAACTATTGGAGGGATTGCTTTGAAATTTTGTACAGACATTCATGGTCCCCAGAGGATGAAACTCTTGCATTTAGAGCTAATTAGCATTACATTAACACGCTAAGCTAAGATGATGAACATGCCAATCATCAGCACGTTGTGAGCATGCCGGCACACTGATGTTAGCAGTTAGCTCCAATCATTGCTGTGCCTGAGTACAGCTTCACGGGCCAACTAGAGCGGCTGTGGAGTTCGGTTGGTTTTATCTGAGTGTTTTTCATTAACTTTCTGTAAAATGTACTATATCATTGTCAGATGATTTGAACAATACATGGAGAGTAAGAAACTGTGTTGCATATGTATACTGTATGCCTGTTTGTGATGAACAGGTTTTATGTTCTTTTTTGTTTAGGAACATGCAACAGTAGAGAGCATGTCAACTGTTGGACATCTTTTATCACAAGTTTTTGTCATTTATATGTGGTATTGTAATGTCATCCCAAGTTGGACGGGCTTTTACCATGGTATGAAGCAAAACGGAAGAAAATCGTAAATCCATTATTGATATTGTGAGAGATTATTACCACGAGAGAAGATTTCATTCATATCTGAGTGTGACTTCTTCCCAAGTCCATTACTTTCAACTTTAGAGCTGAACTGTACTCTACCATTAAAAGCAAATCTTTACAATCTGTGATTACTGAGTTAATGTCTCTGTGGCATCGTTAGAATTTTTAGACTCCATAGAGACAGAGTGGATAAACACAGGAGCTGAAAGACAGAACACAGACAAGACAATGGGAACAAATGTGATTGACGGCAAGTCTGAGCTTCTTGTAAAACGCCTGCTGTGACCCTGAAAATAATACAGACATCAAACAGTTGATTACTTCTTGCTGAGCCACTGCACGTGTGTGTTTGTATATCTGTGTGTGGTATTATGTGGGAGGGTGATGCTGGGACAGGCTGAACGCTGCAGTTTCGAGGCCTCCGGGTGCTACCCCCGCTCCCCGTCTATTTGCTGTTCTTTTCAGTCCTCCTCCTTTTCATTTCTGTGCCACTAAAACCTCAATCAAGCTTGCCTCTCGTCTTTTTTATATTTATTTCTTATTATAGCCCTGCAACCAGATTAATCTGTCCGCTCAATTGAGCATCAGGCTGGCAATCCTTATCACCACGGCGACACCAGGCCAAGCAGCACCCGGCAGCCGCTGTGACAGGGTCACGGCGGAGATTGGAGCGGTAACAGGGTCGCCAGCGGATTGCCGTGAAGACCGAGGAGTGGGGGTGTGGGGTCAGAATTATTCTTATCGGGTGGAAGAAAATCTCCAGAGGCCGTCTCTCACTCACCTTTTCCCAACACGCACACACTCATTGCCGCTCTCTCGTCTTCTCCTTCTAGGGGTATTGTGCTTTAGCCAATGAATCCATCAACCACTTCTTCCCTTTATCTATCTCTCTCTCTCTCTCATCCCTCCATCATCATCACCCCTCCATCCTAATCTCGCATTAACACCTGCTCAATCGTACAATAACCCAAAAACAAACACACACACAGAGAATTAATGCCTATAGCGTCTTCATTAACCTCGTACGTGATTAAATCTAGCCCTCCCCCTTGTTCACTTCTCCTTTCCTATTTAGCTCTTTTTATCTCCTTCCTTTCCTCCCCGTTTCCATCTTTCCTCGACTCTCCTCTCAGCTCATTTCACTTCTCATTTGGAGTGCAGATAAACGAAGCTTTTATCCAGGCAGGGATGCCATAAACCAATTCAAACAGAGACTGGAGATGGGTTATCACTTGTATTGCCTCGCGCTTGTTGAAACAGGACTCTTAAATTGATACGATTATTTCTCCCAACATAAGAGAGTGAACCATGTAGAGAGCCGAAAACAGGGAAGAGACTGATAGTGTAATAGATGTTTTTACATATTTTTTTCTTTCCCTACAAATTAGTAACTGCATCTCTTCTTTCTTGTATCATGTCATTATATTATTATCTCTTTGTGGGACACTTTGCTTCTCTCTGCAGAGAGAAAGTGATATAAAGACGGGGACAAAAGGAGATGAAAGAAAAGGAAAAGGAGGAGATTACCTAAAAAGACAAACAGAACATAGAAGATCAGAGGCACACTAAGCTCAGATTTCTAATACCTCTGTCTACTTGTCTCCAGGCTCGAGCCCTGATATGGCCCCCATAACACAACAACACATGATACATTACTAATTGGAAGACGATTGATGTTTTTGGGCAAAGTCACCCGCTTCCCAGAAAACCAAAATTAATCTGTACATCCGAGCATGGGTGTGTGTATCTTGGGGCTTAGTAAGAACCACTGTTCGTATCCAGCAGGGCTGAGTGTGTTAGCACACAATCAGTTTATAATCCTCATGTCTATTGAGGAGATGTAGTTTTAGCCTGAGGTGACCCATTGCCACATACTGAGGAGGAGGGAAAGTAGCAGAGCATTAACCACACTACATGTTGAATTTGTCAGTTTGTTGTGTTTATAACCAAGATGCACTGCGGCGCAGCCTGCGAAGGGGACTGTTTCATAATATTCTCATGCATTGATTGTTTTGATTCAACTAACAAAAGGGATGTTGGTTATCACAAATTAGACACCAGGTCAAAATGTTAAAATACAGGGAGCCAAACCTGATACTTTACCTGAAACAAACATACTTACATATACTGTTTATGGCCAGTATCATAACGGAATAAACATTAATGTTTTGGTAAGAGTGCCATTTCCCGTTGCAGATTGAGATGTAAAAGCACTTACATGTCTATGACTGTCAGGGCCTCCTCCAAGAATCCCTTGGCCAACAGGGAACGGATCACGTGGTCGTAAGAGACAGCTTTTAATGACACATTTTTTTCATTGGCATCCTTCAGCAACTCAAAGGCTTCTGTAGGAAGAGAACAAGAGGAGAAAAAGAAAAAAGTTGATGGGAGGACAAGATAAAGAAAAACATAATTAGAGATAATCTTATTGGTTTAATAAGATGAATGCGCTTTTGCAAAGACTGCTACAGTGCTGAAATACAATGTTAATATCGTCATTTCACTTCTCTAAAATGTATATTATTCAAATTCGGTTCTACCTGTAGTAGATCTCTCCAAACAGCTAGTGAGTAGTTTGAAGTCCGAAGCCCCATAAAGCAAGATATTTTTTATATTAACACTGGGTCATTTACGGCTTTGTAATGTGTGTTAAGTGTTGCGAATACTTGTTGAGATTCAACACTCAACTCCTGCCGCTCTTAGCTTTTAAAGGTGTCAGTATTCTTCAAATGAGCTGCCTGTCAGATGGTCGAACAATTTCTAACACCCCTTACCCACAATCCAACAAGCCTGCCCATTTCATGCAGCATCCAGTGGGGTGTACAAAGGTGAGAAGCTATGCAGAGGTGCACTTTAAACGCCTTCAAAGAAAGATTATCTAAAAGTGTGCATAATTTTCCCCATATCTGAACATTTATTGCATATCACCCCTCTTTATGACTGCAGGCACCACTGTGGACCAATTTGTGTCGAACATAACTCGACCTTTAGTCTTTTTTAGCTCAAGAATTGGTTATCCAATTACATATCCATAATTATACTGTATGGATGCCTCCAAGCAGCTCTCACCAACAGTGCCATATAAAATGCTGTTTCAAGCAGAAAATCCCACTTAACACTACCTGCCCAGCACAGCTGCATCAGCAGAGAGCAAAGTGAATGAGTAAATAAAAGGTAAAGTATCTGGGAAGCTAAACATTCCAGATACAACTACTTTTCTCAGGACATTTTAGAACCACGGGAAGCCTGTGCTGCTGATTGTGCTGTATGCTCTAATAAGAAATTATTTGCAAAGATAAAATTGATAAGCTAAAAGTATATCAGGGCTGCCAACGTGTTTTTGCCCCCTAATGGTCAAAAATATCTTATTGTGGCTTCAAATGGAAACTTCACCCACCTCAGATGGTTTGAGTACCATCTGGTATGGTTTGAGTATTTCAAACCAGCTTCTTTTGTCTTTTCTTTTTGTCTTTTATGTCTATGTAACTACACTGGGGCCTCCTGCTCCTTACCTTTGCCTTGGCCTTTTTTACAGAGGTTAACCAGACTGTCTTGGAATTCAGCATTAGAAATAGATGCATGTGCGGTTGCTGGATTAACCTCTTTGTCACCAGCTTCTTTGTACCAGGTCTGTAAAATCACACAAACACAGAGAACAGTGATAAAATTAAGTCTGATGTTTCCATCGAAACACAGTTACATCCAACATGCAAGCCCGTGTACCAGTCAACTGTGTGCTCCAGCAATGAGCTGGTGTGTGTATGTGTGTATGACTGTGCAATAATGTTGGGCCGGCAGGGCAGGGTCCCCTAATGCTCGGTCACCCGTGTAGCAGTGAGGGGAGGGGGTTAAGCTGTATTGGCTAGGGGCAAATTAGGTCTGGCACCCCAGGGGCAAAAGAAAAGTGTGTGTGTTAGAGAGTGTGTGTCAAAGCGGGAGTGTCAACTCAAGAGCCCCAAGGGTCACCAAGTTCATCGCTCCAGGCAACAGCAATCACTTCCTGTCTCATCATGCTTCTGGCTATTGGAGCACGCTCACGTTCAAAGCAAAGCTGAGAAAAAAATGCAGCAGGGAGGAATGGAGCTATAGAAGAATATTCATCCGTCTTTAATACGTAACATTTTTTAACACATATTCAGATTCTGTTCCCTTCGTTTTGTCTGGTCTGGCTTCATTTGGTCAGAATACAGTTGATGCCCTCACACACAAAAAAATATAACTTAGAATCCAGCGGCATATGGTGCCATTTAGCTGCTGGCTAAATTAGTCTGGCATTACAGATTTACAGACAGATCAAGCAGTAATTCCTTTCACCAGCCAGCCGGTCTGATTGACCACACTTCAGATCAGAGCTTCAATCCTGTTTCCTCTGCATGTAATGAACAGAGGCTTAAAGTGGAGTGGGGTGGGATGGGGGGGCTGTATGGAGAGAGCAGTTGATAAGATTTTTGAGAGGTTTTTTGGGGTTAGCTCCTATGATCAGAGGTTGGGGTCAGCTGGCTCTTTGGTTAATCCATGCAGTATGATAATAATTGGGAATGACACGATTGTATTTTAAATGATAGAGTGCAGCTTCAGTTTGTATTTGGTTATGCTCAGTACTTATCTATGCAGCTCCTCAATCCACAGCAATACAGGACAATATACAGTATACACTAGACCTACATTAAGCCTTGTACAGAATATTACTGGGCATTGTCATTGTATATATAGTTAGAGTTAAAGGGTCCTAGTTCTATTTCAGTAATTTATGCTTTTGTTATTCTATTTCTTATTTATAATACCTCTTTGTATGTCCCTATGTTGTTTGACAATCATGTGTAATTTGTCTGCTACCTAAATAAGGTACTTTATTTGGCCTTGGAATTATTGGATTTATTTCTCAAGGACACCTTTAATATTAAGGCAGGCCTGCAATTTAGGATTATGTTCATTATCACTAAATCAATTAATCTATACCATATCAGTAAAAAATGGTGAGTCCTCACAAGTTCCCTGGTGGCAATCTACAAACAGATTTTTGTATACTAAAAGCTCCAAAAACTAAAAAAAATATTCAATTTACAATGACAACTGCAGAACCTCACATTTTAGAAGCTGTGGGAAAACAGAAAGGATTGTGTTTTTCTTTGATAAATGTTTAATTACAGAATTAAAAACAGATTAATCAAAAATGGTCTTATGGAATTATCTGTTCTATCAACTAATCATTTCAGTGCTTTAACCAAGGGTACCCTCCATTTAATTCAAGATTTAGGATAGACATATACACACAGGCACCATTGTAATTTGTGTTTAACCATTAGTGATGCATGGTTGTGTGTTATGTTTGACCTCAGGCACTTTTTGAGTTCTTCAGAGCTCTTGGGAATCTCCTCCTTCATATGCTCCTGGCAATTATTCTTTTGAATAGCACATCTGTCTAATGAGTGTTGCTGGAATATACATATTTTAAAGCTGGGGTTTTACCTCATTGATCTCAAACGGCACCTCCTGGCCATTACTCTTCAGGATGTCTGCCAGCATATGCAGGGTCCTTTCTTTGGGAGTGACGTTCTCCTCCTCCATCTTTGACCACACCTCTTGTGCCTTTTTCCAGTCGTTTGTCTCCTCTGAAAACAACAAGAAACAAGGCAGTGGGAAAAGGAGAAAAGGTGTGCTCTTATGTAATTTTTTTTATGAACGTCATGATACGCAGGCCCATGTTGTATCGTCAGTCCATAATGGATGTAGCTCACCACTCAGCCTGCACCACAAAGTAATTTCTAACAAAGCGCTCCATGCTGAGAGAGGGCAATCAAAGCACTAATCTGATCAACTGACTGACCCTCAACTATGCTGTAATTTAGGAAACACACTAACTAGTGGTGTGTTTGTGTGTGTGTGTGTAGGGAAGTGGTGGGGATAAAGGGTTGACAATCAGCTTTAACACTCCAATCACAATTGTTATCTGCTCTGCTCTCCACTGCAGCAATCACACCATGTCTTCTGCCCTTACATCTGACTGATCCCATTCTCCATATCTCTCACACACACACACACACACGACCAACACCACACACACCAACACACACACACACACACACACACCACACACACACACACACACACAACACACACACACACACACACACACACAACAACACACACACACACACACACACACACACACCTCTAGAGGTGGGAGGTCATGACAGAAATAAACAAAAGAAAAACAAACCAAAACACAAAAAAAAGAGACTTTTACTCGCAGAGGACGGGGATATAACTGTACATCTCATTCTTCTGTCACAGTCAAACAGTCAACTCGTCATGTCCACCATCTTCTTCCAAAGGGCTTTCATCTATACAACAAACAAAATATATATTTAAGCTGGAATTTATTTTTGTCTTTTCATCTTAGTGGGCCCCTTTGATTAGCTTCAAGGCCGAGTGTGTGTTTGTGTGCGCGTTACCTGGCTTCGAGAAATGCATTTCTCTGCATACCACTGCAGGCGTTTTCAGCGCCCGTGCCCTCAGCCCGGTGTCTACAAAAAGGAAAAAAGATCACAATGTCAAAGAAAGAAACCAGGATGTAGATAGATAACAGCCATCGACAGCCTGCACTAAACATTTCCTTGTTCCTGTTAACTCATGTTAATTGTTGTGTTTCTGTTGTTCCCCAGATCTTAGCCAATTAACTCGTATTTCAAATGTCATTATTAGGAAGAAATAATGCCAAATCCGCAAAAATAATTAATAATAAACTAGAATTATCCTTTAAATCCAGCCTGGAATATTTTAAAGCCATCAGACCTACATCAACAGTACAGCAAATGTGAGGTCAGGATGAAATAGTAGGAACAACATAATTAAAACATTAACACACACTAAAGAGAAACTATGCCATGCACTAGGCATCAGAGGAGTGCCCGTTATCAATCTCGCCTGTTGAAGCTAGGGTAGCGTAATATATTTCAGAAGCATATCTCTTTCACTATCCCGACCAAACAAAAATCTGAATCTGTATTTTAGGAGACTAGAAGTCAAATACCAGCAGAGTTTGCATTTTTATTTGAGCAATTTAACTATCAAATAATAATCAAATAATCTTAGACCAGGCACTACACTTAATCACCTGCCAACCTCAACACTAAGTACAGAGTGGAATCTGTGGTGAAGTGACGACATTAGGAGGCTCTGCTCACTGCTAGGGGTGGAAAACAAATCATTTTCCATTATAGAGTCAAAAACAATTCTGTGTAGCCTCTTTCAGAGCTTTGCTAACTCTAATTTAATAAAGGATACGCTGGACAACATTTTTTTGGGAAAAAACAAAACAAGGGTTTGGTATGGAAAAAAGTGACAGAATGATGAGCTAGTCAGGCACTGGAGAAAACAGAAAAAACTGCCTGAACACTCTTAACTTTAGATCAAATTTAAAGTTAGACCAATTCAGAACAGAACGCTAGAACAATAAGAATATGTACTGACATAAAATCCCAACAGAGGATGATTTGTAATACTTCTAGGCCACCAGTGATATGCAGATAGACAGAGTGTGTGGGCTGTCAATAACGGGGCTGACATAGATTGATAGGCTCGTGTAGCAAAGATTTAGCCTGATATGTGGAGTGACTAGATGATTATTATCATGGAATAACAGAGATCAGGATTTCATCTGTCTCTTGGGGCTTTGATACAATCTGAATAAGACTAGGATTGAGAAATCTCGCCCTCTTCCTGGTAATCTGGTTGAGAGGAGAAAAAAAAAGGGAGACAGAGCGATCTGCCAGGAAGTTAATCTGTACGGGGGGGATCAACAGCGCTCAATCCCCGCTGGCCTCTTTGAAGGGAGCCCATCATACTGTGAGAGGGAGGGGAAAGTCAAGAAAAGACAGACTTCATCCCTTTCTCTGACCATCCCTCACTGCCGTCATCCTTTCCTCGTTCAATCCCCAGTTCTCTCAATCCCTCCTCCTTCCTCCAAATCTCCCCAGCTCCTGCTCAGTCTTTTTCCCAGCCTCTCCATCCCTCCATCCGGCCCAGGCAAAGGCATTATGTTCTTACCCAACCAGCCAAAGGGACAAATTAAAATGTGTTGCACTCACTCTCTCGCTCAGTCTGCCTAATCTTCTTAGAGACTAAGGCCCAGTGCAAGTGCTCCATCTTTTTGCCTCTGATTCTCTTTACTTGGTAAAGTCTTGCAGGCTCAAAGCAGCCTTCGCACTTCTACTCGCAAACACACACACACACACACACACGCACGCACACACAAACAAATATGCCTGGGATTTTGAATCTGTGAGGACAAATCTCCCTAATCTGGGTGGAAAACTAAATCCTCAGAAATAAGAAAGCACATAAATTACACACGCATGGATGGATCAAAAGAATACAAAGCAGAAACAAACGAATAACGGCACAAGCACTCTCACTTTCACAAAGAGATAATGGAAAAATTTTATCAGGTCAGATTATCAGGACAATCATCTGACCCACACACACACAGCAAAGTGTACTACAATCCATCACTCTGCCTCTTTTAGAGTCTTGTATGGCCTTTATCTGCTGAAACATCTTTACAGGTTTCCCTCTCTTCCTTATGTACACAAAAAGAAAAAGACAGAGGCGACCTTGTCTCACCTCCACTTAACAAACCCCCTCCATCTCAATTCCTAATGTTCTAATTCTACTAATCACCTGGCCACTTAGTCCACACACACACACACACGCACGCAAAACAGACACAGACACACCTCTCCCTAACACAAAAACACATAATGGCTCACCACTCTTTAGCAATACTACCTAACCTTGACCATTACACACATGCGCGTGCAGCAATAATAGGCTCGGCCACCTGACAATCCTCTACCTAACCTTGACCATTTAGCACAAAATTGGCCACCTTTCTCTATCATTACATTTAATTAGCTGTGATTAATCAGCTGCCAATTATACCAAACACAGCCTAAAGAGAGACACCACTCTGGACTACCACTTGACGCTCGCAGAGGGGAAAAAAGTATTTGTGTTTGAGTGTGTGTATGCATATTTGAGTGATAGATATGATGCTATTGTATTATATATCCTCAGCACTATATCCATCGTCACCGCAAGTATAACAGACAACTCAGAAGTGAACTTTCTGTTTTGAGACGCAGGTGAAATGGGGAGCAGCTTTTGAAATATATCTTCTGAGTGACTTTTTGTTCTGCTTTCCCTCAGCTCAGCATGACGCATTTTAGCATCTTTCAGTTCCCTTTTGGGGTTTTCTGGCCCACAAATTAAAGGACCAGTGTGTAAGATTTTGAAGGATATATTGTACGAAACTGAATTTAATATTCATAGGTAGGTTTTCATTAGTGTAGAAAAGAAAAGACGAAGAAGAAGTCTTGCCGGCTCTAGATGGTGCCTTTTGACGTTTTCGCAAGTTGAGTGGCCATCGTACTTCTTGCTACACAATTGGAAGGAAAGGGTGAGAAGAGTGGTATTCAGTTGGTTGCAATCTACGTCTACCTCACTGCTAGATGACACTAAATGCTACACACTGGACCTTTAACTGGGTTTCAGATAAACCCAAAGTCCAATACCTGCTAAGCACCAAATATCAGACAAACAAGGTTTGAACACTGAGCAGCTAACTGAGCTCGATATTTCCCTCAGGAGTTTGCAGAGCACAAAATGGAGCTTAAAAACATACACACAAATACTCACAAATAAATGCTAAATGTTAGTCAACATTTGCTGAATATTTAAATGTTCTCTGCAACAACTTTATTCAATATATATTAATGTTGTTACATTTTTTATCAAGCAAAAAAGTAATTGTTAGATTCAATTAATTGAAAAAGAGAACCAATGAAATACTGAAATATTTATTAGCTCAAGGTTTAAACATTCTTAACCTGTTTATAGAAAGCACTCATATGTAGGAAGAAACATAACAGAAGGTCTTTCAGGGTTTAAGGTCGTTAATTGAGAAAAAAATAAGTCAGCTGTGGCAGTGAATCCACGGGTACATACAATAACTGATGTTTTAATGTACATTCTGAAGCTTATACTGTATCATTTAAAGACCTGCAGGTTTAACCTCACGCTGCGTTGCGTGTCCATGACAAACCAGCCGACCCTTCATAATAAAACTCAACAGATGGGGGTAACGCAGCAGAGCATTTGTCATCTTCCACTGACATCAAGGACAACATGTACATCTGTAGTACATTTACAAAGCATCACCAATCTCACACATCACTGGCATGTAGCTGGCTTTCTGTTATAAGTAGGATAACAGCCATACAATCTAGCAGAAGGGGAATGAGAGCCACAATAACAACATGTCTATAATATTTAAGAGGGTTTAGAAATCCTCAAGAGGGACAAATCCCTCTTTTAGTGCACACCAGGACACGAGAGGGAGCAGAGTCAGTGCGAGGGAGTTAAGGTATTTTTCCCCCTTACTTTTGTTCTCATCCTGATCAGACAACATAATGGCCTTGTTTTCCCATTCCTCTGATGTCAGGCTCATCCCCCTATTTGTTTATTCATCAATCTCTCTGTCCTGCTATCCAGTCCCTCACCGGCCGTTTGTTTTATCCATGTGAAAATCACTTCTTATCTGCCCGCTTTGCCTCTCTCTTTTTCTCGCACTAATCTACAGGGCTTATAGCAGGACTTAAAATAACAAAGATATAAATATTAATAAAATATTTCAGGTCAGATGAGCTGCATGAACAAAAAGAATTTGGCAATTACATCCTGGATATCCTGATTTCCATTTAACTATTTTTAAGATTGAGAATCTTAGAGGAGGTGGGGTTGTAGTCAAAAAGGAGAACAGAGGCTTTAAATAAAGAGACCAGATCTATTCACTTTAGATTTTTTCACAGTTAATACCATGTAAAAGGAGAATAGAGAGAGAATATGACATAAGAGAGCTCTTATGTCATATTCTTCTCTTACCTTGAGAGCAGAAAATAAAAAATGTATGTCTTTGGTGGGAGAAGCAGATTTTAGTACAGTACAGGGCGGATGTGGCCATGATACCCTTGCTACTTAGAAACTTTTAGATTTATCTGATAAAACAGATGAAATAATAGCGATTAACCACATATTTTAATGAAAAACTTTTTGAAAACTGGGAAAAGGAGGAGACAGTATCAGAAAACCCAACCTGGCTTCTACAGTTCCTTAATATGCATGTGCTTACCTCAATGACCTTACGAGCCTCATAGTAGTGCTCGGTCTGCAGGAATGCAAAGAACAGACTATACAGCATGGTCATCTCTCCTCGTTTCTCGGACAGAAAGTCCATGGCTGAAGAGAAAAGACAAAAAGACAGTCAAACGGGGGGAGCAGAGAAAGGTCATGATTAAAAATGCCTGCAATGTGAACAAACACACTCTACACTCTCATCTTTTCCTTCTGATTCCATTATTTGGCACAATGTCCCAGGCACAAAGCAGCAATATCAAGTCTGCTCTCAAACAAACACGCACAAGTCCCGAATGAAAGCCTAAGCTCTCATTGTAAACTTGCTAAAGCGCTCTGCTCAGCGTTATGTACTATCTCTGTCCAACAGCTCCAGGACAGGTACCCCCCCCAACACACACACACACACACTTTCAATCATCCAAATGGACCTGCATATTCAGCAAAGCAGGGGAGGAAAGAATAATCTCTCTCCTTTCACTCACTGTCATCTGAAGTCAACAAAAAAACCAAAAAAACAACAACAATGTGCTTAACTTTACTCATTAAGTGGTCTACATCTAATGTAGACAACTTTGGAACCGAGTTTCAGACCAAATGGACTAAATTTAAGTCGGATTTTCTGCGTGCAAATCCCTATCTGAAGCTCTGGTGGAAGAACGAATCATACTGGCTCAATAATAGCAACTTATATTAGAACTTATTATGCTTTTCTTCCACTTCCCAGACTCCTGTAGACTGTTCCAGGACAGAAACCTCCAGGTTAAAATCATGTATGATGTGCAGTGGTTGCTATGGTTGCCAGAACCTAACAAAACCCTCCATTTTATTTTTCTGTTGATGCTTGAACTCAAACCAAGGTCAGACATGCGAGTCAAGATCATTTGACGAGGCATGTCACGCTTTTAGTGTGTTTTGGACAACTGAAGGCCAGTCTGTTGGAAGTCTACCCGTTTGATGGTTCCAGTACACTTTACTTCAGAAGGTGTATTTTAAGGTGAGTTTACAAACTATTCATGCACTGCAACAGCATGGGTCCACAGGAGCAAGCCACGGTGCAGCAGGCTGCGGCACTCAACATGTACTCATAATGCCGTCAGGTCAAGTGTGACTCAAGGTTTGTGTCATAAGTCATCCCTCTTTACTGCTTTGTGTGAGTGAGTGGGAGACAGAATCATTTGTTATTTCAAGATCCACTGATTAGTTGGCACTGGTTTACATGCTGGCCTCTGTCAGACAATCGTAAAAATCATTTTGTTTTTTGAGGTTGCATCAACTGACTCTGAGGGTCTGTCACCTTTCGTGGGGGGTGTCAGAGACGAGGGTGGGAGGGAAGGGTGGATGAGGGAGCGGGTGAAAGGGGGAGGAAGGGAGGTGGAGAGGTGCTCCACTGCATGGTTTCAACCTTTTCGCACTCCAGAGCCACTTGCCCCTGCAGCACATTGAACTTGACCTTTTCACCGAGCTGCTGTGGACATACAGGGAGACCGTTCAAAATGTGATCACCTGACGTGCTTCAACATGACCCTGGTCTAAACCTCTCTCACCCTCTGGTCCTCTTACACACTCTTGGAATTGTTGGCGCTTGTTATGTGCGTGTTTAATGCAAACACTGCATGGGTATTTTGAATTAGTTCCCCCCCAACACTAGAATACTAGAAGGTTAGAGTCAACCAGGAGAAACAGAAAGTTTGATCAAGCTGAGCTAAAGTGAATGTGTTTTTTAACATAGCTGCAAGAAGCATTGACAGTGTGTACTGCTATTTTGAACTATGATGAGGCTATTTGGACATAATAAGCCTTGTGATGTTTGTGCATTTATGAAAATCAGGCTCTAGGACATCCTGGTGGCCTAGTGGTTTAAGTTGCTGACCATGAACCGTAATGTCCAAACAACTGAAGGTAATAATTTTTTTTTTTCTTTATTTGACAGTGACAGCTTGAGATAGACAGGGAAGGGTGTAGAGAGAGGGGATGACACGCAGCAAAGGGCCACATGTCGGATTCGAACCCTAGGCCCCTGCAGGACTCTGTCCATGGTCGCCAGCTCTACCAAGTGAGCCAATTGCTTTACTAATTGTTTTAAAACTAGATTGGTGGATCAGAAAAATATCACTGAAAGACAAAGTGTGCGGGCTGGATAGAGAAATGTGTAACCTTTCTGCAGTAGTTCGGTGTTTCCCATCTCCACCAGAGTAACAGTGACATCTTGCATGCGGGGCAGGAAGCCAAAGCGCTTGTGAATCGTCTCCATTGCTTCCAGAGCTCCGGCCAGGTCCTTCCTGCAGGCATGGAACCACACACACAAAAAACACACACAGAGAGAGAAGGAGAGAGAGCGAGTTAGATGTCAGGTCTGTCAAATCAGTCATGTACAGGATTGTGCTGGTAGAGAATAGAGTGTGTATCATGGGGTGTTAACCCTGCGACCTCCTATTCGAGCACTGTGACCTACCGCAACAATACAGGCCTTTGAATTCATGACAGCACAACTGTGGGTGATGAAGCCTTTTGGCCCCAATACATCATTCTCACACAATCAGGCACACTCTCACACACCTGTCTGCGAGGGGCTAATGTCTCTCTGGACAGGCTTTTAGAGGGGAAGCAATGCAACAGACAAAAGGACTCAGCTGATCTTTACCCTCTCCGCTCAGCTCCTCTGACGCCTTTCAACTTGTCTCGCTCTTTATCCTCTTTTGTCCTTTCAAACCACCTTTAACCTTCCCTCATTTCCTCTTCCTCTCATTTCCCTTTCCTCCTGATCTCCTCCCTCCTCCTTTCACTCTTCCTTTCTTGCTTCCTCCTCACCATCTTCCTTCTGATTTCATGCTGTCAGCTCTCACTGCCCTCCGATGACCTCGGCCCCCAGCTGAGCAATTTAGCAGAAATATGGCAACAACATTAGAAACCCCACCACCAGCTCACTGCTTTCATCTCATGTCATCCTTTTCTTGCTCGATCTATCCCTCCTATGCCTCCTGAGCGGACGTACAAACAAAAGAGCGCGTAGAGGGAGGATGAGTGTGCCTGATGGAGTGATAACAAGAAGTAGGGAGACAGAGATGGGGGGGAAAGGAAGCAAGGGAATGAGAAAGGGGAGGGAGAGAGACCACTTCAATCCCCTCTATTGTGACAGCGCTGCCATCAATCTGTTGATTGGGTAATTACCATGTCAATCACACAGAGGTCAAAGCAGATAGGGCACCCATGGGGGAGGTAGGGGGCAGAGTAAGCAAGTGAAAAAGAGACAGATGGACAGAGCGTGAGAGAGACAGAGATTGAGAGCAAATAGGTATAATTTCGGAAGTGTTTTCTCCTCTAATCAATTGGACAAGTGTGATAAGAGAAATATGCCCAAAAAGACCAACACCCCGGGAAAAAAAAAAAAAAACAGGAAATGGTATGACCTTGTGTTAGAAGAGAGCGATGGAGGGAGGAGGAATGGAGTGATTAGGGTTGGAAGGTAAAGAGGTCCGCTAATTGAAATGAAGAGGGACAACATTATTCAGCAGCGCCAGTCAAGAGGCTATTCAACTGCACAACAGTCTGATTGAACAACACAGAAGAGAGACTAAGAGATTTTTGAAAATAAGAGAAAGAGTGTGGAGATCGAATGAGATCGAGGGGGCTGTCATGCGTACGCGGTTTAACCAAAAACTGAGACAAGGACATAAAAAAAATATGCAGAAATCTGTTATTAATGAACAATTGCCTTAACTGTTGTGTTGTATGTGGCTTTTTTTTTCTACACTGGAGCCATTTCTACACATCGTACCCAAGTCATGTTGGTGGATGTTTCAAAACTCCTTTTTCACACTTGTTTCATCCCTTCTTTCTGTCCACCTCATTCATTCCTCCATCAAGCTCCTCCACAGCTACTTATAATCCCTCCTTCCTAATGAGACATCTAAAAAAAAAAAAAAAACATCCCATCACTCTTGGCAAAAGAAAAAAAAGGGCCCGGCGTTGCAATTACACCCCCTCTACCTTCCTTCCCTCTCCCCCTCTCTCCGCCCACCGATCCACCCCAAAAAAGAGCTAAGGATGTCGAAAGATGGATAATTTCCCCTAGGTACAATTTAACTGTCACTTTGCGTTGCCATTTACTGCGGCGCACAGCCCTGTTAATGTCCTCAACTTTGCATGTCAGCCACTTTCCAGCCAATTAAGCCCTGAAAAAAAAAAAAAAAACGAGCGCTTTGCTCAGTGGAAACCTGAAGGATTAGACAAGGAAGCTCATTTTGCCTCACCCCCAGTCTCT